ACCCCGAGGGAGGGAAGCTGCTGTCCGGCGGATGTGGCCAAGATGGACTGGATTTATTTAGATTAAGGCGGTGGGAAAGGAGTGGAGACTCGTGTGTGCAGGAAGGAAAGGGCTAGGGCTCTGAGAAAGGCTCCCCAAGCATGCTTGCTCCCCTGGACTTGGGGTCCTCACTTTGCTCCTCCAAGGGGTCCCTCTGATTCACTGTGAGGAGCTGGGCAATTACTTACTCCATCTTTGGACCTCTGACCCCCAACCTGGCTAAAATAAAAGAAATCATGAGGGCTCCCTGGCACACGGCATTCTTCTCATGGGCAAAGGGGACTCCCTCTCTCTGTTTCAGGGGCCTCCCTGGGCATGAGAGTACGGCAAGTAGGGGGATGTCTGTTCCCTGACTGGGACTCCCACCTTGTCCCAGGTGTCCCTCCCCCTGAAGAAGGGAATTGTTGCAGGCAAGCCCCCCTCTCCCTCAAATCAGCTGTCTGGCTCTCTCTGGGTAGCTGGACCCATGGCAGCCTCTGGGAAGCCCGACGAGGTCCACAAGGCGTTGGGTGGACAGCTGGGGGCGTCATGGGCTCATCCAAGATGGCCCAGGAGGTCATGTCCATGTGCCTCAGACCACACTCTGGCCCGTCCCAGGCCTGTGGCCTGTGGTCCATGCCACCCTTCCCCTGCCGCCTCCTGGATTTCCATGTCACCAGTTTATCTGTCTAAAAAAGTGAAGCCCAGAGAGGGAAACAACTTGTCAAACCTCACACAGCAAGCTTGTGACTGAGTGGTCGGGGAAAGCAGTCCGTGAAGAGATGGTTACGAATTCTCACATGACTCCAGCCTCAGAAATGCAGCCCCTCCTCCTCAGCCCCCAAACCACCCAGCAGCGGGAATTACAGTGACGAGAGCCTCCTCCTGGCAGCTTTAGAGCAGGGATGGCTCTTGGAGATGGGCCTTTGTGAGGGCTGCTGGCTCCTTGTATGGATGGAGAAACAGAGTCCCAGAGCGAGCTAGAGACTTGCTCCGTCTCAGGGGGGTCTGAGGTCCCTGTGACCAGAGCCAAATGCTCATTTCATGAAGAGAGAAGCCAGTCCCAGATCCCCAGGAATCCACACTCTCTCTAAGGTGTCTACACTTTCCCGAGCTCCTCTGACCGCTTATCTATCCTCTCCCCAGCGTCCGATTCTTCTGCCTTTTCACTGTGTGACCAGGCCATGATTCTGTCCATCTTTGGACCTTTGCTGCCGGCTCAAGAAGACCCCTCCCAGCTGAGAGTCTCAGAAACTCTAAGCCGCCCCCAGCCCAGGCCCAGCAGGAGAGGAGCCAGGGTCAGGGGCTGCTGGCCCAGGGGGCCCAGCCCACACAGCCCAGGCTTCCAGAGCCAGGCCAGCCCCAACTGCAGTGACCTCCCATCTCCAGGCCAGCCGACCAAATTCCTCCTTTAGAATAATAAACAGTGCGGCCAGCCAAGGAGGCCGAGAGGGGAGGGGCAGGGAGGCTGAAATGACCCCCTCCCCCAGCCTCGGCTGCTAATGATTTTCTTTGGCTGAGATCTCTGGCAGGAAGGGGGGAGTCAGAGGAGCACCCACCGAGGGGCAGATGGGCCTCTGTGGGGGCTGCTGGCTCCACCATGGCGCTGCTCCCTCCCGCTGGAGGAGGCCTGGCATCCAGCTGGAGGGGCTGGGGCAGGAGGGATGGGGGAAGGAGGGGGTGCGTCAGAAGGGCTGGGTTTTCAGCCTGGAACAATTGGGAGAGGGGAGCAATGAGGGGACCCTTAGGCAGGCTGCTCTGAAGGGATCAGGAGAAGGAGGAGATGAGTAGATTCACTCAGCTTATCAGGGTGCTGGGCAGAGCGGAGACTGGGTGTCCACAGGCCAGGATGCTTACCTCTGCCCCACCATTGAGTAACCGCAGCTTTGTAAGTGGTACACTCAGCATCATCTCATGTTGGGAGCTGGAGACGAAGGCCACAGAGATAGTGATGGTGCAGAAGGTAGCCCTGCTGGGGCTCAGACCAGGACCCCGGCCTTGGACTGGAAACTAAAAGGGGTGAGGGTGGGGGTGCAGCGGGGATGACCTGGGTGTGGGCTGAGGAGCAGGCCAGGCTGGGCAGCCACTCAGGGAAGTCAGCAGACCCACAGCCCCGGGAGGCTCCTTGTTGCCTCGTCACGTGGCTACTGCCCACATTTCTCGCTGTGACTCCCATCTGCTTCTGGGCTCCTTCCCGCCCATGCTGCAGGCGGACCCTTGCAAGCCTGGCTCTTGGTGGTTATTTGGGATCCTTGGATGCGGCGGCCACAGGAAGAGACAGAACAAAGACGCTCCCAATTCAGTCTGTCTTTCAGGGAGTGTCCCTGCTGCTGTCGCTTTCTGTCTCCATCACTGTCTCCCCTCTCTCCGCCTCTCTGTGTCTTTGTCTCTCTCTACCTCTATCAATCCAGGTCTCTCTGTCTCTCTCTCAGACAAGCTCTGCTGTGTGACCTCAGGCAAACTTCTTTTTCTCTCAGAGCCTCAGTTTCCCCATCTGGACACTAGGGGTGGGGTAGGTTCAGCAGTCTCCACAGACCTCCCAAGGCTTACTGTGCAGTGGGGCCTCCCTGGGTCCCAGCCCCCGGCCCCTCTCCCCTGGGCCTCCCTGTGCAGCTCAGGACCAAGGGTAGGGGGCCAGGTGTGGGGGTACTCCCCCCGCATTCCACAGCCCTGACTCCCCCGCTTCCCTTCCCACAGCCACCTCCACTTCCTGTTGTGCTTGTGGGGCTGTGGGAGTTCTCTGGGTTCTGGCTTACCCCCTCCTTCTCCTCCAGGCCTTTCATCACACTTTCCCAAATATTTGTCCTGGCAGATAAGAGCCTGGTATTGGAACTGTCACCAGGAGGACAGGCTGTTAGAGCTGGCGGGCCCCTGGACACCAT